GCCCAGCATTATTAACATACATTGAACAGGGAGGCAGATCCAAGAGCACAGGAATCACTGTAAAGTCAGTGCCTAATTCAGATGGCTCAGGCAGGCAGAGACAGCAAGGGATGGATTTAAAACCCCTCTGGAATCTGAGCTGGAGCCTCCTGGAAGACAGCAGAGCTGCAAACACATCCCTGCCACGCTCAGCCAGCTGTTACAGCTGAAATCCATGGTATTTCTCACAAAGTGTGCAGCTCCTGCCTGTCTCCATGGAGACTGATGTTGGCTCAGCAAAAACTCACCAAGTGCTTTAAAATAATTCCTCTTCGTTTTGAAATTTCAAAGCACTTAACTTGTTTTTGCCTATCAGATGTTATTTTCCCAACTAAAACTGCAGCAGGAAAAGCAACCAAAAGCACTAGTAAAACTACAAAAATATTTTCAAAGCTGATTTTACATGCAGCTGGAAATTAAACACCAAAATATACATTAAAAAAATGGAGAGAAAGGAATCTCCAAAACTAGAAATCAAGCAGTCACTTGCACAATCTTCACATTATGTGTATTTGTGCACCAAGTAATTTATATTTAGCTGCAGAAGAATTCTTTTTGGGATTATTCAGTAAAGTATTTTGTGCTTTGGCTTAATTAACTCTTGCCCTTTTTTATCTAAAGGCTATTCCTTTTGGGACATACCTTTTCTGACACAGCCTTAATTGTCAAATACCAGGACAACAATCACAACAGTCCCTAAGCAAGAGCATTTTTAAGAATCTCCCTCCTCCACCATCCAGTTTTGGTTTTCCTTTAAGGAAACACAAGCTAATTCACTACAGCAGACAACAGCAAATTCTGTCTTGCAAAAAAAAAACCCAGAATTTAAGCTTCCCAAATACATAAACAGCAGCTGAGAATGTGTGCAATTATAAAGCTTTTTTAAAAGGCTGTCCATAAATATGGTGAGTTTAGTGGTAAAAATATTACAGTGTTTACAAAGTGTCCACAGATAAACAGGTAAACACTGCTGGCAGTCTCAATTTAGCACAGTATTTTTTAAACCTTAAATGTGGCCATAAACTTGTATTAGCATAAAAGGTTGTTTTTTATATATGTATATATATATATACACCCACACACCCCTTTTACCAGAAATTCTTCACGTTTACCTCAAATAATTTACACTTCCACACTGGTAGAGATTCCAAAAAAATTTCAGCTAATGAATTGACTCTAAAAGCTCTTTGAGATCACGCTCTGCAAAAAGCAATTCGAAGATGTCACACAGGGTTGGGATTTTCAGTTTTCAGAGAATGGCTGAGGTTGGCAGGGACCTCTGAGGTCTCCTTGTGCAGGCCCTGCTCCAGCAGGGCCACCCAGCACATCCAGGCTGCCCAGGCCCTTGTCCTGAGAAATTCTGAATAAATTTGGGGATAGACCCTCCACAACCTCTCAGGGCAGCTTGTTCCAGTTTGGGATAATCAGACACAGCTTCCTGTATTTCACTTTGTCCTCTTTGCCTCTTGGACACCACTGGAAAGAGCCCAGGACACTTTTTAACCCCTCTTTCAGGTATCTGTTCCCATTCAGGAGGTTCCCCTGAGCCTCTCCTGGGAGCTGAGCAGTCCCAGAGCTCTCAGCCACACCATGATGGAATTTTCAGGACTATTTTCCAGTATTCTGTTTTTCAAGACATTTACAAACTTCAACTCTACCACTACTGAGCCTCATCTTTTTCTTTCTTGACACATATGGAGGAAGAAATTATAACGATCTGCTGGTTTAAATAATCTTTTCCATAAATAGTAAACTTACACACCCATTTCTTAAGCACAGGAGTACACAGCTCTGTTGGCCTTCTGGAGCTTCTCTGTCTTCATGGAAAATAAAGACAGTTTGTTCCATAAGCACTTTAGGATAAATTAAATTAGGAATGGTGGCCACGCTGGTCAAGAGGAAATTTATGCCATGAAAATAATGCCTTTTTTTTTCCTGTTTCTTACATAACCCCACCAATAATGTATTTTAATTTGGAGAAAAAATATATTCATCCATTTGAAAACAGAATTTTAATATGGATCAGGATTTTGCATTATAAAATAATGTTCTGAACTATAAGCAATAGACAAAAACAAAGGCTTTTGGCTTTGAACATGAAATAGCACCAAAGCTGACAGAACAGAACTTCTTGGCCTTGAAATCAGCATTTTATGAGACTGTTGAGGGAAAGGTAATCCATATGAATTAAAGTGGTTTGTTACTACTTAGGTTACTGACCCCAACAGAAACAAGAAGCCAACACAGAAAAATGAAGAAACTCCCCCCGCCTCCAAACTTCAGCAATTTAAATAATTCTGATTATTCTGCTACTTGATTAGCCTTCTTTGTGATAGAAATGATGGGTGTTTTCCTCAGCAATAAAAGAAGTGAACATGACCTCCTGAAAAAAAAATTTACTGAAATAAATGTTCTAGTTCCAGGCATCAAACCCACCATTTTTAACACTTAGGAAAAAAAAACCCCAAACTCTGCCTCCTCACATTTTTAAATATGACATTAATTCATAAATACCAAGCTACTAAGGAAATTTTTAACTGCAAAGATAAACTGAACAGTGATGCAATGGAAGTTTAAGCACCAAGTTTAGAATAATGCCACTAAACTAACCCAAACCCCAAATATAAAATTATCTCTCTGCCTAATGAGGTAGCTACAAGAAAATCTCACTCTGCAGGCCTGGAATGGAGAGGGATAACAGAGAGGATGATGAGCACCACTGGGAGGAGAACTCACCTAAATTGTGTCGCTTTGTCTTCGCGTGCTCGTGAATATGTTTCTTTGTGAAACAGCCAAAGAAGACACAGTAGAGGCAAGAGTGGAGTCTGTTCAGGTGGGCACCACACATATGACAAATGCACGACTTTGCCTGAAACAGCAAAACAGACACAGGTTGTGAGAGCCAGAAGCATCCCCCAGCCCAGGCACAGCTCTCATGGCTGCCCTTCCCTCTCACTGTG